GCAGCTCAGGCTCCTTCACCGCTCGCAAGCACGAAAGGGTTAAGGCGAGCCTCGCACAAAGTTTGCGGTGAGCTGAGCTCAGAGCGCCCCTCCGTCCCTCCCCTCGGCGCCGGCAGCTCGGCTCGTTCCCTGCCTGTTGCCTGCCGAGGGAGGCACCGGCTGCTGCCACCGAGGGAAGGCTCTCGCCCCTTGTCCGCTGCCTGCCAAGGATGATGCTGCTCCGGTGACATCCCGGCATCGGAGCGAGAGCCATCCCCGCCGCGGGGACCAGGGGAGGAAAAGTGCCCTGGGCTGAAAGGACAGTCCCGACTCCATCCAGCAGCACGACAGCAAATCCTTCCTGCACACATCCCACCGCCCGGGAGATGCTCCCAGAGCGATCCCAGCCTGAAGCGGGGACTCTGCTGCCTCATCCCAACACCGCTGCCTGCTCGGAAAGGTAACTGGGCTTTATTCTGCTCCCTCCCCATGCACTGCCACAGCCAACATGTCCAGCATGAGAACAAAATACCCTGTCTGCCCCTGGAGGAGGAGGCACCACCACCCCCCTGCCATTTTTGTCTCCCTCAGATCCCCCCTGGAGAAAATGCAAGCCGTGGGTAGAAATTGCTACTTTTGATGTTTTGTCTGCATTTCGTCAATGCTGATATTTTTCTGTAAAGGTGACCTAGACAGAATACACCTGGTGTGTTCAAGCCCAAGCCTTGGAGAAGCTGCTCAAGTAATTGTGGTTTTTTGTCCCACTCACCTGTTTATAAGAGTCAGGGTGGGTGGAAAAGCAGAGGGGARCTCAGGAAAGTTGCCTGCACTTTCAGAGATGCAGTGCTGGCAAGCAGTGCTCACACTGAATGTGGGAGTAGAAGGAASCAGGTGGGTTAGACAAAACATTTACTGCAGCTGCAGGTGCAGTTTTGACTGTCTGTCAGCGCTGTTTAGGGGGAAATCTTTCTCTCTGCTCCTCTGTGACCTCCAAATGTGCAGAGCAGAGCAATGCAGGCTTCTAAAACTCCCCAGAGCTGAAGCTCCCCACACCCAGAGAGCTGCAGTGGGAGGCTGGTAATGTCAGTGCCCATAGAGTTTTGGCTGATGAATTTTCTGGCTCAGTGACATACTCTGAAAAAAAATTCATCTCTTGTGTATGAAGGCTTCTATTTTCATTGCAGATTTTTATTAAAAGAAATGTGTTGGGTTTGGGTTTGGGTTTGGGTTTTTTTAATCCCTGATTAAAAACAGCCACAAACTGATAAAAAAAAAGCCCCAAGTGTCTGCTTGAATCAATCTGCACCCACTGAGCACCAGTGCTCACTCAGAATCGAAGCATTGGTCAGCCAGAGAATGACTAAACCTTGAAAACTGAGATCACGGGGAAKGTTCCTGTGTCCATGAACTTGAGGGCTCCTCATGGTCACCAGTGAGATCCTGCCTCCCCTAACCTCAGTCATACACAATTATAATCTGACCTGCTTTACACACAGTTTCTCAGAATCATTGTGTGCCACTTATTTTCACAACATGTGAAAGAGGAGTGTACAAAATCTAAGTYTACTGGTATCCAAAGAGATGTGCTCAATGGGATAATTGGTAGATTGAAAAGCAAAAGTCTTTGGGGTTGCCTGGAGCTATTGAATWATTTCTGGCTCATTTCTGGAGAAGATGCATTTAATGTTGCAGCTTTCAATAGTCTGAATAGTTGGTTGCTCCTGACAAATCTATGGTTGAGCTTAAAAAAGCCCCGAACAGTGCCAGCTTCCCATTGCTAATAATTCTTACTATTAATCTGCTCCTTTTATCAATAAATGCCCAGCTGAGCTTCACTAATTCAACATCTTGGTGTGCAGTTAATTATTGAACTTCAGACTAATGTCCTCAGCATTCTGCAGTCCAATTTTATGAAGGATATCAAGCCACTAGGCTCTCAGCTCATTAAGGGGAGAAACCAGCTCTGGCTTTTGCTCTCGGGAACAGAGCAGATGGGATGGGCAAAGACATTGCTGTGTACTTTAACTCACACAAGTGTCAGATTCCAGGCTGGTTGCATTTCATTATCAACAGAAAAATCATATTGTAAGAACAGAAGTTTAATACAGTCAGTTACCTTCACACCCTCTATTTCCCACCTGCTGTGTAGCATGAGAATATTCTRCATGGGGGAAGAATTGCCATTTATAGATTCCGAGTGTGAAAATCACAGTTATTGCCCTGTGATTGAGAGCAAAATTGCCTGGCTGTCCTCCCCACACCTCTGCAGCAGCACCAAACCCTCTGCCAGAAGAACTGGCTCCAGAGGTGTTGGGTCAGCCCCCAGAAAAACACTGAGCTTGCCCACAGCCTCCTCCACAGCACAGCTCAGAACCCACTGCCCACACAGCCACTGCAGATGTCAAATCCCCAGGTAATTTTTTCAATCAGTGATTTGGGCCAATTKATTACTGAGCAGGATCTGGTCCAATATTCCCTAAACTGGATAGCTGTTATCTCAAATGTTTTGGGACTGAGGGAGGAGCTTGAGATGTAAAGTGTAGACAAGCCCCCTTCTCAAAAAGTCAGCAAATCAGATACTTCCCTGTCATCTGAGCCAAGGTAGCTCTGTATTGCTTGCAGTGAAAGTCTGAGGYCCCTAGAAGTCAAAATGTTTTGCAGCAAGATGTCATTTAGGTGAAAYCTCACATGTCAGAGCTTTCCTCATATTGACCTAGTGTTTCATTGATTCTGATTATCACAGTATATTACCATGTTAATATTACTGTATTTATATTCATTGTAGGTATATAGATAGTGGACATTATAAATTATTGCATCAGCTTGTTTCAGTGCTTTACTTTTTGTTTCAGATAAAACCAAAATTCTGGTTTTATCAGAGCAGAACACAATGCTTTGGATGCATTTTACAGTGAAATTTCAACATTTCCATTTTCTGTTTCCAGCTGGCAGAACTGAAACTGCTAAAATGTTAAGATTCCCCCCATTTCTAGTATGTTCTGCTGCCAGAGGTGAGGGCAGTGTCACTTCCTGCAGCAGAGTTTCTCCAGGGGGACAGGGAGGGCTCTGCACCTGCCAGGTGCACCTGGCTGCAGAAAAAGAGGGTCCTGATACACAATAAATGAGACACATGGTAAAAAACACTGATTGGATTCATATCTTCCCTTCCTCTCTGACATCTGATTCCACAGACTGTGGGGCCTTCTTGTATCCATAAGGGAAGAGTTACCAGAGGAGACCTTAACAAAGATTTGCATGTTTTGTCCTAAGGTCAAATATTTTGTGCTTCTCCTCCTCTCAAGGTGTCTCACAGGAGCATGGCAAGGGTTTCCTTATCTATTTGTTCTAAAGATAACACACCGAGGCTAAGCTATTTTGGTACCTGGTGTCATTTCTCTCTCTCTTTCTCTCTCCCTCACTTTTTTCCTTTCAGAAAGCTGACTTTTTGACTGTCCCTAATGAGAAACTCAGAAATCCGTGCTCCTTAAGCAAGTTTCAGCAGCCCTGAATTAGGAGAGAAGGGATCCCCCAGAAGTCTGACAAAGCAGGAAACAACCTTCCCCAGCTCACCCAAGGATAATCCMCCTGCTGTGGCAGAAGCTGGCAGAAAGCTGATTGCTCAGTCTGCCTGGAAAACAACGCTAGAAACACCAAAGCTGTGCAAACCTTGGCAGCTCAGTTTGAGAGAAGGACCAAAGCTTTTCCCCTGCCAAAGGAGGTGACTTACCAAAAGGAGGCCCAAAGCATTTTTAGGACAAAATCAAACCAGAAGGAAGTGTGAAGCACAAGTGTAATGCTCGTTGTCATTATGACAGCAACTTGCAAACCGGTTTGCAAAGGCTTGTCCCTGCTTTAACTGCGTGAACAGGAGCCTTCGTACCGAGAGCATGGAGCATCTCCTGCTGCAGCCATCCTGCCATCTGTGCTAAGKTTCCTCTCCTGACCTCCTTTGTGAGTCTGCTGAGGGGAGACAGGAGATCTGAGGGTAAATAGGGAAAATGGACCAAAGCTGACAGAAAGCAATGACTGAGATTTATTTCAAATTCCGTGGGAACCTGACTGGCCGTGTCCACCTTCCAACTCTGGCTACGGAAGTAGACACAACAGCAGATAAATATTCCAGCCTCTACGTGTACGTGGGATTGTTCCTAACCCTYCTGGCCATCCTCCTCATCCTGCTYTTCTCCATGCTCCTGCGCCTGAAGCATGTTGTGTCCCCCATCACCTCCCCAGAGGGCACTGAGAACRTCCAGCGGTTCACAGATGTGGAAATGCACAGCAGGATCCCCAGCACTTAGGGAGCCCAAAGCAAAGAGGGCTCCRTGCTTGGGAAATGTGTTTTGTTCAGCCAAAGGTGGTGGGAAGAAGCTCTGACTGCCTGTTGAGCCCCACAGCCCTCAGCAGCAGCAGTACAGATCATCTGGAGAGCGCTGACATGGCAGACATGYGTKYAACACCCTCCAGAAAATCTACRTTACAGAAACCTACTGCTGTCAGGRAAGGCTCACATCCCTCTAAACACCTTGGAGAAACAGGGAAAGCCACAATAATGACAGCCAAAACCCCAGAGACACGTAAGAGAATGTGTCCTGGAGGCTGTGTTTGCTGACCTCCCTCTCTGAATCAACGAAGTTAAGTGGTCCAAGTGGGAAGGGCCCACAGGGCACTCACAGAAATTATCAGTGGCTTGAAAATTCTCAGGCATTTCTTCCATCCAAGAAGGAAAACATTATTTTTTTTTTTCCCACTAGAATGGCAGTTAAACAATGGAGTTTCAGAAGTATACAGATGTTTCATCACCTGCCGGAAGGAGGTCGTTCTGACATTAGAACCCATTCAGTGAATACTTGCATGCCAGATATCAAAGAGATAAAACTTCCAAAAAGAAAAGAGAAAAAAAAAAAAAAAAAAAAAAAAAAAAAAAAAAAAAAAAAAAAAAGCAGCAGCAGGAAATGATCAGCAGGAGAGAGAAAAAAGCATTAAAGGACACTCTACCTCTTCCTTTGTTCTCCTTTACATTAAGTGAGCTGAATACAATTTTTATGCCTTTTAGGCTCCCCAGTATCACTCAGTAATTAAAATGCAGTGTAAATTTTGGGAGTCCGATTGACATTGCTCTCCTAACAGACTCATGTTCATAATAAATGTTATCTCATATCCATAAGGTCTTCTTCCTCTAAAGACGGACATGTTTTTCCAAAGGTTTTTAATTTGTTTTCCTCCAAAGCAAGCTGAGGAAATGCCAGGGCCTGGCACTGCAATAAGGAATAGTGTGAACAGCTTTGGACACAGATTAATAGGGAACATGCAGATGGAAAGTAAACTCACTGAGCACTAAGAGATAAGGTTGGATTCAAATATCCTGATGGAATCTCGTGGGGGAAACAAATGTTTTCTTAAATTTATGGAACAACAATCTGACCCARTCCTATGAGTGACGTACAGAGGGAGGCATGGATTCTGAGGAGGGAAAAGATGGAGCAAATATGGCAAATCCCTCCTGGGAGAACCACTGCCTCTTAGAGGAAAACCTTCAGTGAATTGTTTCAGCTGCATCTCTAAAGGGCAGGTATTTTACACAGCTTATCCCCTCTATCACAGTCTAATTCTACTTTAGCAATAAAATCTCCTGGATGTTTTCCACATGTACATGCACTTATTTGCCAATTCTCCTCTCTCCAAGGGTGTGGAAAGTGTAAAGTCCTCACACAAACCCAGAGCAAAATCAGAGAAGACACTGTCACATGTACYTGTGATAGTAGCACGGAATTGTTTCTCAAATGCTTTGTGTGCAACAAGTTTTTGCTTCCCTTTAAAGTCTGGGTGAGCTGTTTGGACAGGAAATGTGGCTTTTRCAGATGGCTGGCAGGGGGGAWGCAGAATGCCAAGGAACATCTACACTAGACACACTTGATCYAAGGGCAGGACTAGGGTTGTTTCTCACCGATGTATTGAGTACAAAACCATTTAAACATTGCTTCCTTATCTTGAGTAACTCCTTTTTASTTCATTAACCCCCCCATCTGTGAATCATGGAATCCCAGAACAGTCTGGSTTAGAAAGGACCTTAAAGATCATCTTGTCTCCCTCCATTCCACTAGAGCAGGTTGCTCCAACCTGGCCTTGGACAGTGAACGAGAACAGTGATTGTGTGAGGGAACACAGCAAAATATTCATTCTCAGCAGTGTCTCTCCATGTCATGATTGGCTATGTTTCCCTGGAAAAATGGCAGGAGACAGGTTACATTCCATGGGGACAACACCAGGCWGGATGGATGGTGGCTTCACACCCCAGCTAAAGATTGGCTCCTCGAGGAGTGCCACTCTCAATACTGCACATGAGCCAAAATTCTGTGTGAGGATCTGGATATTAATCCAACTAAGACAGATGGCTACTGAGTTAGTCAATGACATTTAAAATTAACAAAAATCTATGCAGCTTAAGTTGGCTTGGTATGTATCATTCATTGAGCCATCATGAGGCAGCCTCGCCCAGCCTCAACATCTGATCTACCCTGCAAAACTTCTYCATTCAGAAGCTACAACTTTCCTAGAAATGTTCTGATGTATTAAATCAACAACCAAACCACTTTAGCCTTCCAGCACAACTATCTGCAGGAAAGCCTTGTATCCAAGAGCCTGCAGGACAGACTCAGCTTTTATTGTCAAACTTTTATTGACATAAAATATCAGACCTACTGATGGAAAAGGACAGTATCAGAATCTGAGTTGGGACCCAAATTCTGATTGCTCTGCTCCCAACCAAAATGTTCTCCCAAGTAGGAGTCAAGACTGAGCCTCCTTCCTTCACACTACAGAGTGTTAATTCAAAACAGTCTCACAACACTTCAAAACTGATTCAGTAAATACACTTTAAATAAATGGGTAATCACTTTATATATCAGATGATATCTTTGGGTAGGCTGTGTGTTTTTATATTGTACTCTCATGGAAGGCAGCCCTATCTTCTCACATGAAAAGGACAAGTTTTCCTTTCTAAAGCTTCATTTCACATCAAGTATCCATCCCACCTGACACATCTACAGCCCCAGTGGCACTCAGGGTGCCTCACGTGTCTTTACAATGCCAGTACATTTTAGAACCTTTCCCACTGAGAAACTGAAGAATGCCTTTCCCCTCTTTTCACCATCATTTTCAGCATCCAGGACCCGAGGGATGTCTCTGGGAAAAGAGACTGTTGGGATGTGTTACCCTGTGTTTGGCCTCTGGTGGAGTTTGGCATTCCCTGGTTTTAAGAAGCAGTTATKGGAACTTTTGCACGGGTTTTCTGGATCTTGGAGCACTGCAGGTCTCACAACCACACCCTTCCCCTCCAGCAGGCTGTTGTCTTCCCACTTGGCCATCTGCTAAAGAAAATGGGGGGTTTTTACAAAAATAAAGAGGCAGAGTGCTATGGRTGGTGAGTCACTCACTGCTCTGTGCTGTTCCCACCTGGGGATGTGAAAGATCAGCTCAAGTGCAGGAACAGGCTCAGGTGGTGCCACTGTTCCAAACTAACTTGGCCACAGGGAGTGTCTGGGCAGGAAGACCCTCTAGAGTCTGTGTGAGCATTCCTTGATCCAGCACAGTTTGCCCCCATCCTCGCTCCCATCAGACCYTGGAAACAAAAGTGATTATTGAGTAAATTCCTCACCTCCTCCACGCCCTGCCTGCGGGGGAAGACAGCCACCTGTTGCWGTGAAGGAGCAGCAAAACGCCGTGCATCACCACCCCTTGTGGGTGGCCAGAGCGAGCCTCCTCTCACCAAACAACCACCATCGCTGCCACATCTCCAGGGTTCTTAGTCTGGAAGCTGTCAGGGGCATGGTGTGACTCCCCAAACCATGCTGGACTAATCCTTGAGTAATCTCACCCACTTCATTTCCATCCACAACCGTGAAATTTCTGTATTAACAGACCCTTAAGWATCAAGCAGAAAGGATTGACATGTAGAATATGTTCCCTTACTGTRTCAGAATAAACAGAAATTTATTTTCATATCCTTGCAGGGCTGCAGAGAAAAACTCAGCAGAGGATCAACCCTGATCCTTCATCCTTCCCAAAGGACCTTTTTTGATTTTACTTGAAAAAGAAGTAAAAAATGTTCGAAACACAAAAATTCTGTGAAGTCACACATCCATTTAACTGTCAAGCATTAAYGACAACCTAGTTGTACAACCTGTCCTCACTAGGAGTTTATTTATTATCCTTACATATTCTTCTCCTGCAGTCACCAATGAGGTCACTGCTAATGAGGGACGAGCCCAGGTAAGCACAGACAGCTCCAGCATTAGAGCAGGTTTGGAGAGCAGGAGACACRCAGACAACTGCTCTGCTGGCAGGCAATGCCACAAGACACCTGATTTGCTACAGGTTAGGGAGCAAGTGAGGTGAAATTGCAGAATGATCATACATTTATCTCCAAGAAGATACATCTTTGTGTTGTGTCTACACTTCAGCGTAGTTCTGGGATGGACAGAAAGTTTGTTCACAGTTTATTCGTATGTCTTTCAAAAAAATTTGCAGTTGTACAATGACATGCATGACTGAAAATTTAGATGCAGATATATCTGGAAAGGGAAAATCCCAAACAGTATTTTGYTGGTACAAGAACTGTCAACTCACTTGTTGACATTTTGGTAGAAAAATAAACCTAGAGAYGGTGAAGTCTGCCTGATCTTTGCAGTGGGCTCAAAAAAGGCGACACAGGATGTTGAGTAAAAATGATATATACTTAAGGTATTTTCGGTTACAGTTCCCGACACAGATTTCATATTTGTTCACAAAAAGGAACTGCATGTTGTACATTCCATCTGGCAAGAGCCCTATCCAAAAAAGCCCTCTTAGATCTCCACCTTCCTGAGTATTTTTCAGAAGGTTGTGAAGTTCCAGCAAGAGTAAGAGCAATCTTCAGTTCCTGGTGTTCATTCTGTGGGCACAGATGTCAAAATAAAGCCTGAAAACCCCACAATGATAGTTCGGTTTCTTGTGCACTTGCTCTCTAGAATGTGATAGATGAACATTTCCTCCTCAGTCCTTTCATTATCAAGAATAGTTAAAGTATCATCTAAGATGGCTGATGTTAAGAGTGAGAAAATAAAATGAATTTGAATTTTGATAGATTGGATTTTTCAGAGGTTCTTAGAATTTCTTCTGAAGGCAAAAAGAATTTGTCCAGCTGTAAGCAAAGCTAAGTTGTGAAAGCAGACCTGCCTGCACAAGGGAAAGGTCTGTGCAATTCATATGCATTAATAAATAACCCACTCCTTCTACTCCCACCTGCATTTCAAGGCTGTGTAAACTTGTCAAACAAATGATGAATAATTCAAAAGACCTTCTCCTCCCTTCCTTCTCCTCTAGATTTATTAAACCATTTTCAAAGTATAATTTGATCAAGCTAATAGCCACAGACTTCCTAAACCGACTCTCTCTRCATT